TATCCAAAAATGTACAATACGTCTCTCCAAGATAAACGAGACAGGAGTTAATTGATTAGTCAATATGAAGCTGTCTGTGACAATGCGTGGCTCCAAAATGCCCATAAATGTTCGTCGCGAACGATGGCGACGCTCCTACTCTGACGCAAATCAGAAAGTTAATACCGAATGGCACAATCAGCAAAGTTACTTGTCAGTCCTTTTAAATCAACAAACAAAATACGTTTACAACAGAGTTATGAAAGTTTTGAAATCGAGACCTCGTGATTCAAGGCACATTTGAAATTAAGACATGAGCGACGTGCAATCCACGGGGGTCAGAAACTCGTTAAGTTGTTAAAACAATTTAGAGCAGTCAGTCAAGCAATATGGCTAAATTGAACGCAGTGAATAAAGACCAAATAACCCATACTTACAAAACACTATCACTATTGAACGATCGAGTATAGGACCCAAGAGTTGCGTCATCCGCTTTGCCACCAGTCACCTGAATAAATTCATCCTGGATGTCACGAGGGGTGCGGCCTCTTGTTTCAGGCAGGTAAGAGTAGAGCAGACCGATGAAGACAGCCAGTAGACCAATAAAGGGTACAAACGAGAAGTTCCCCAGATAAGTCTAGTGCACAAAATACCAGTGATGAAATAAAAACCTTTTAAAATCCAGGGCCGTGTAGACTGCGTTGATAAGGTTGCATTTGACAAGCCTGACCAATAATGATAGGATATCTAACGGACATCTGAAAATAGCACCATCAAGTGCCTCTCCTGTTACATTCAGTAGGCTACGGGCAATAATAGTTTACAACGGAACATATCCAAGCCTAACTAATGGCCCTCAACGTGTTTTTTCCAGAGCAGCCTCAACCCCTTCTCTCCAAAAGCTCCTGTTTTCATGCTTGATTTAAGTCATGGTTTAACTTTATGACACGGTAATGGCTATCAATATAAACTTGAATTCGTGACTTGCCCGTCATGCATTTGAGGCGAGCAGTATTCTTATCATCAAGGCAACACTCCTATTCCCAGGAGATTACGCATCGTACTGTAATGTGCTCACATGTCATGCCTGAATGGTACCCTAAATCGGGCTGGCGTTGCACCCGTTGTTCAATAGCTCCCTAATAATGTCCTACAATTGGGGACCGTCTCACTCTGAATTAAAATCTCCACACAGAACAGCCGATAGCATGGGACTGCGGCACAATAGTATGAAGGGCACTTGAGAAACCAGTATGTGTATATTCTCCTCCGGTCTTGTAGTGTTTTTTTGTAAAAAAAAATGCCCAAGTAACCGGTTGAATGCGGTAAAATAGCAGAAAGCGGTCCAAAAGGTAACAGCTCTTACCAAAAGTGGCGGGTATCCTAAACTGATAATAATTTGAGCGACCCAGTTGACGATAACGGTTAACACGGTAGCCGGGTCGCGAGTCTCCTGCACAAACATTTCACCAACCAAAAACCACGGAATTGAACCTACATGTTTTGTAAGGAAATTAGGCATGTTAGGGTATGGTGTAAAGCGTTTTCCGTGTGACTGCTCTTTAACCATGCAAGATTTCGGAGCTGGATTAACAAGGGTTAAGTTCGACTATCAGTGGTTTTACAAAATTAGCTTCTCTCCAGCAGTCGAATTGAAAGATCGTTAACCTCGAAAATTACGGCGTACCATTCTGAACGCCAATTCGATACTTCAGTCCGATTCCATCAGATATCACTAAATTATCCCCGCATAAACAAGCGATAATGCATTTGTAGGGTGATAGTTTAAACCACAGAGGAGTGGTAAAAGTAAGGTTTACGTCTATAGAGGACCTATGAAATCCATAAGATCAATCTTATAAAAGTCAAGAAAGTGAAAATTTTGCCCGATTCATCAGAGAGCGTCTAAAGTGTCACAATGTAGTTTTATGCACTCTTCTCGTAAATACATTCTGTTACGACAACACAACTACGCAGCGCAGATTATAGTCACTAAAGCGCTTTGGAATAGCGCTTACTGAATTTATCGAGATGGATGCGGAACCAGCACCAAAGCTGTTGTGCAAGGTCGACTCAATGGCTTTAAAAAAATCGACAATGGGATTCTTTTAATTATAACCTACCCGGCCCAATTGCAAAACCACCTACAAAAATGTAGATGAAAGTTAGAGCCAAAAAAACTAGGCCTGAGGCGCGATCTCGCAGGGCCAAGGCGATGGTGATGACTACGGCGCTCGCCAGCATCACGCTGAGACCCGCCAGGAGAAGGATTCTCCGACCCGTACGTTCAATGAGAAAAATGGAGACCACAGTAATTACGACCATCATCCCTCCAACACCTAAAGTTGCGTATGCTGATTGCGACCCAAGTCCGATGGACTCAAACAATGACGTCGAGTAAAATAAGGCCTAAAATGGCCAAACAGAAAGTATGTAGATTTAGAACTAACTTTGCTTGCTTCGCATGCCTTTTTGTGTGTTTGACTTACAGCATTGATTCCTGAAAACTGCTGGGCCAAGTGGGCAACAACTGCAACGAAGAGAGCCAACCTCAAAGCCTTGACGTGAAATAGGTCTTTCAATGCAAATTTCTACATATTTGGACTTAAAGAAAAGTGGGGAATTTACAGCACAATTTTCACCTCGATTCTTCTGTTCTGCCAAGAGTTCTTCAATTTCCGCGTCAATATTATCAGGGTTACTTCGGTACCAACGAAGAGCGGATTTAGCACTCTCCGTATCCTGACTATTCAGTAAGATATAACGAGGACTGTCTGGGCAAACCCACAAGAAGAGCAATAAGACAACAGACGGTATGAGTGTCAAACCTAGGGTGTGACATGCGAAAATTGAGACAAACCAAGAAGATATGGCCAGAGGTTAGATGTTCCCATTAACTCTCGTAACCCAAGAATCTGGGATATGAGAATGGCGCTAACAACGGCCAGCTGGTGCATAATGCCTGACACACCACGGATGCTTATTGGAGCAATCTCAGCAAGATATACAGGGGCAATACCAGTAAAAGCACCTAGAATATGCAAAATGCAAACGGAAATCATAAAGTCTTACCGCAGGCAAATCCAACAAGCACTCTTCCCACTATAATCATCTCAAAGGTAAAAGCTGCTTGACTTGCCATCATGAGAAGGGATCCAATAACCATGGGTACATTGAAAATAAAAAGAGCCAGTTTCCTGTCACACAGAGATAAAACATTATAACCATACATTAAGGAGTTATGGTACAAACATGCGGAATTAAACAGATTCAGGTTTATAAATCTGGTCAGGTAAATCGTCTGACCGACCAAACATATTAAATAATGATTTACCGTCCCATTTTGTTTGAGACTGAACCACCGAATATGGCGCCAAAAACTCCTCCGACAGGAAATCCGGCAACAATGAGACTGCTCATTGCAGTAACGAATTTTTGATCGGAATGACCAGTTCTACTTTTAGTGACATTTGAGATGAAAATCTCGATTAGCTAAGCAAATATTTGGATTACCTAATGACCTACAGGGAGGGGACTATTTATGACGCCAGTCTGAAAGCCAAATTGGAAAGATGATCCAAAAACGATGACAGCCGTTGCAAATATGTAGCGAAAATTAACCATTGCGTTGGCGAAGTGTGTTCTAAAAAATTCACCCTAAAAAATTAGCATAATAAAACAACAATCAAGATCCGTTTGTGTTCTCTAAATGTTCTAGTTTAATTAAACAACATGATAAATGATGTTCCCTAGCTAAAACTACCGCCAGTCGTTGAACGTGTCATTCAAGTATGACGACCGAATAAGTACGTACTACACTAGAAGGAGTTAATTGCGCTTTGTAGATAAAAACACTCTCAGCTTCATTATACGTAAATATTGTAATCGGTAAAATATGACCGTAGAGGGTAGTCTTATTACACTGTTCATTGGACTGCTGTGCACTTAGATAAAGTGCAACTTTTTAGATACTGCAAGGATGATAATTTAAAATAACCTTAAAGTGGGGCAGACATGGGTAACAAAGACTACTAGATATAAAAAAATACCTAAAACGAAATGCCCGTGGGAGAAGAACAAAGATTAGCAAAGAATACTCAGTAAACTGAAAAAAATTATTCCAGAATGTACATAAGATGATCAAAAAGAGACATGTAGAGTCATTTAGGATTTTGGCAAGAACCCAAGACAAAAATGTTTACAGTTTGCTTTTAATAGGCTGAAAGTAGACTAAAATCTGGGGATCAACCTTAAATCTGTGAAATTAGAAATCGAAATAGAACACGACTATATGGCAATATAAGTATCCTCTGGTTAAAGTGTGCTTCTGATTTATGAAATCCAGTCGTTCTCATTCATTTGAGATACGATGAAATGTGGAGGATTAGGAAAGGTGACGAATTTATTAGACATTGGAAAAGAGTCTGCGGTGACAAGGAATAAAAGTGATGCAAGAAATATGAACCTAACTTTCAGATTATAGTACTTCAAAAAAGGTGTGCTTCAAAACGCATAGGAAAGTTGTATGAAATGAACAAATTAGGACAGAATAGATGCCGCAAAAAGCATAACGTACAAGCAATTCCAAGCTCCTTAATGTCAACCGAATAGGACGAATTAAAATCCTCAGCAAAGCAACAATTCAATGATCTGAGACAGCTTTTAATATACACACAGGGAAACTAATGAATTTCAGGCCGACGGATCATATATGCATACAGCGGCTGTTGGTGACCTTCAATCCGATTAGCTTAAACTAGTTTCTATGCTATCGTTTACTCAGAACAAAAAAATACTTAGAATTTTTTGGTCACTGTAGGGCAAATTACAGTACATAAAAAATTATTACTACTAACTTATTAATAAAGCTGAATTTTATAAAATAATTCCCTGCAAAAAAATTCGAAAGAATCAAAACAGGGGCAGGCAAAATTATTGTCTGCAGCTACAAAAAGGTGTACAGACTACAAACCGATGCAGATCACTAAAGTAAGGAAGCTCCTGTTGTCCACAAGGTACATGGAACATTGATTTATATTTGTATTCGTGGTCATTTTCGATGGATCAGTCTCAAAAAAATACGACGGCAAATCAATTTAAAAATATGTTAGGTCTGGTTCACAGACAGCTTCATATTGACTAATCAATTAACTCCTGTCTCGTTTATCTTGGAGAGACGTATTGTACATTTTTGGATACGCAATTTCATCTATAGACAGGGCAATCTAATCAATCCATTATTTGCTTCTGATAGTTGGTCAAAATTAATTCGTGGAATTTTGTTTGAAGCGATTTCTGTTGAAACACGTGTCTATTTTCGGTGGGTCCAGAAAATCAGAAAAGACGTCATTCATGAGTTGATTACGCAGCGCTACAGTTGTGTCCACGGTCGGTAACGCCGGGGCGTGCCAAAACTGTTTCAGGCTGCATGAAACGCGTCGTATTAGTTTCGATTCCCAGTGTTTAGGCGTCGTATGAATTAAACAAAAACAATCTGATGGAAAAATATTTCGTGTTGCCGTTTTCTTTTTGATTGTTGACACTAAGAGCCCTTTGCGTGGTAGTCCAGTTACTGGAGGTAAAAGTTGTCCTTACACAATAATTTGCGCCGTTGACATGACAAAATGTACGCTCAGACGAGCCAGTGTTTAGTGGACTATGGTAGAGAGTGTATCTCAAGCCTGGTGGAACGTTAGATTTAGAAAGTAAGAAAATTGAAACCACCTATTGATATTGTCTAACGGAAAACGCTTCAGCCTTTGCGACGGCGCTCGACGGTACATAGCATATAACCGTCGTAAGACGCTGAGTTGGCTTGGCTGCGAAGTGTTGCCCCATCATCCACACTTCTCTCCCTCCCCCCAGCCTTGCACCAGCCTGGGCTTCATCTGAGATCAGTTTACTTCAGTTAATGCTATTCCGGTGGCAGTGTATGGCCTTCAAAGAGGTAACCATGATGGGATTCTAGCAGATTACTTAGCAGACAATCCCAAGTAATCATGGGGCTTTGGATCGGTGACAAGTCAACTCTAACCTAAAAAACGATCCACAGACTTTCTTTTTTATTCTTTTTAGGTGAAGCGGAAGGTTCTGATAAAGACCCCTCAGGAACGGTGGCGTGTTCCCCTATTTCTGACTTAAGCGTGGTACCTAACATTGTTCTACCCTGTTGTAACCCTATTTTTTACAATGCTCTAAATTTTCACATTGGAATTATTGCGGTATTTGGGTGTTTGGCGGTATTTGTACCCGTTGTTAAACTCACTAAAACTGCACGTATTCTGCGTGGGTCCATGAGTCTCCACGCCTCGAGGCGCAACTGTTTAACAAGACGCCGTGTGTGTGGAAGTACGGGGAGGCTGTGCAATTCAGGAGTTGAATCACTCATGTTAGCGAACATTGTTGGCCGATCTAGGGCCGCACTTGATTCCGTGTAAGCACGGCTGCGTAAATGGAAGTTCTCGGACAAGTCCAGGTTTCAGCTGTCAGTTTATTCAAATACTGCATAAATTGGCCAGGTTACTTGACAGCATACTACAACGACAAGGGCTCCTCTTTAAGTTAACCGGAGGTGCCATTAAGTGAAGGGAACCGAGTACACCACGCCCTCTCTATCGTCGGAGTGTTTCTTTATCACAAACATGCACTCAGATTGAAGCTAGGTTTTGTTGCAAGTAAGAAAGTTGGCTTAGTGAAGGCTGAGCCAGGCCTGGTGACAAGGCACATTTGTGAATATGAAAACATCATTTGTTGTTTCACGACTGACCTTTGATCGACTGAACTTGCTAATTGGTCGCCATAATTGGGCCAAACTTCAATCTAGACTGACACACCAGAATACTTTTTGAGGAATGTCGTAGCGATGGCGTTTAGTGAAGTATGGGTGCTTCTGTTAATCGTCATCATCATAAACAGCCTCCTTTTTTTGTTAAGTCAAATCAGTTGTGTGTGTGTCGGTTGAAGACGTGTTGGTTGAGAATGTACTATTGATGAAAAGATTCACAGCCAGGTAAGCACAGTATTAAAAGGGTCTATTGTAGTTAGGTTGTCTGACATAAGGAGATGTAATAAAGCCAATATCTTAGGGCTCGGTCGACAGGAAGTAAAACGGATAACTGTAGGCATGGAGCTAGAAGTAGCCGGAGACATTGCTGGAATGTTCAGTTAGGGCAGGGTTGCTGCAGTCATTGGACACGCAGCCCCAGTGTGAATGCCGCGCACAGGCCAGTTGGGCTTCAGCTGGTCGGAGGCCGAAACAAGTCACTACCGCGACGATACGTTGGCGTTAATTGCGAACATGGAAGAGGAAGGACTGGGATGTTTGTTTGACTGGAGTAAAGGTGCTTGCAATAGGAGGGATTGTGTTTTCCACGACTGAATCGTCGACACCGTTGGGCAGCGGCAGCAGACCCACGAGGCCACGCACGAAAAAGTTTCCCGTTTTCAAAAAAACCACTGAGCCTAAGAGGGACTGCAATGTTGCCGTGCCGTAGGCCGACTCGCCGCCCTCCACTCCGTCAGTTACGGTGGGTCCACCCACAAACAACTTATATTACAAAACGGAAAATCAAAGTGACCTTTTAGTCGAGTGTTTATTAAACAGCTTTGACATTTATGGTCAAATACCAGCTCAAAGCATGATGTTAACCTTAAATATACTTTAGATTACCTAAAAACCAAAAGCTAAATGTCGAAAAATATGGAAAACCAGGATTTCGGTGTCGCATGGTATAATTTTGTTGTGACTCGCTTACATGGATACCTACAGAATTTCGTTAATAAGTTTACATAGGTCCCTTTAGTTCTAAGTCATTCGTTACCATCTAGAAACATCGTGCGTTCGATTTATGATAAAGTTAGATATCAAACGAAAGATGTGCATAATGTGAGCCCAAGTGCATTGGCCTGTGTTCCATGCAAACGACGAACCTTTGTTTTATTTGATGTTGATTGTTTCCCAGGTCTCCATTTGAGGTTTTTGTAACGCCTGAAGGGCCTTATTAAGCAACTGCAAACAAATTAAACGCTAAAACCATGCCGTGGGCACATATTAGTCAAAAAACTGTGCCAGAGTCAACTACCGATCGGTTACGCATGGTTTTTAATCCCATTTTAAGGTAAAGACTTTTTTACTGAATTCAAAACATTGCTATTAGTGTGACCCTGCACATTCGAAAACACGTCTTGGCAGGAAAGGGTTCGGCTCTGGCAACGCGGTCAGCAACAACGAACAAGACGAGCAAACCTACTCCCGTCTGACCCCTAAGGGGTCCGTTAAGGAGGTAAGAGTTGCCTTCGGCGAGATAGTTTGGTGACGTGAGCCGTTGACAACGTTCGTCCACTCCGTAGACAGCAAGCCCCATCCAGAGGCGATGCAATACAAGGCCCTCGGGGAGGTTTTCCATGACGGCAGCGTCGCTGACGAAGTCGGCCTGGGTTTCGGACAGATTAACGCAAGTGCGATTAGAGGGGTCTAGAGGATGCAATAAGAAGTAGACACAGTGAGACATTATTTTAACACTAAGCAGCTCGTCTGACGAGAGTTAGGCTATTGTAACAATCATAAACATACCCGAAAGAGTACTGACAACCACATAAACGATATGTCTTGAGATTTAAAAATCTAGGTGTAATCAGAACTTCGACTTACACTCGAC